AGCTGTCTACACCAGCCATGTAACAGCTCAGTCTTCAGCTCTCATTTATGGATCGGAAGCCTATTTTTCTGCACGCACTGAGTCTATTTTCTTCCCACCGCCTCCCATATAAAACTGCAGGACAGCAAAAGCAAATAATTCACCCCATATTCCACTATGATTATTACCCAATGGCTAGAGGGATGTAGAAACATTTCTCCTTCAAACCACTGCACGCCTCAGCACTTTCTGGTTGAGGCTGTGTGGACTCCAGACGCCCGAGGTTGTTAAGACGCTGACCATGTAAATCGTACATTGAATGTTACTCGTATACAAGTGCGTAGCAGGTGATTTTTGTTTTTATTCAGTGTAATATTCATTTTGGCAGCAAGAAGCTGAAGTGCATGCATTACTCAAAGTTCTAAATGTCTCGATGCACAAGGTGCATGACATATTGTGTGCCAGCAAGCTATGGAAATGAAACACATGAATGCTTTTAGTTCTATCTAGAACATGGGGCAGAGATGCACTTCAGCCTCTTGTGATCGGAATGAGAATTACAACAAAACAAAATCATGGAGACAAAAACATTTTGTTCACCTACCTGTTTCACAGATGTAAGCGATTCATAAACGTTATCGTGGCCAAACCCTTTTTTCATCCGTTGAAAAACATTTCTCACTTTCCTCCCAGAGCGTCCGTACTTTTGAAATCATGAACTGACATTTTTTTGCAGAGATCTGACTGAACCTGAACCTCTAAAACATAAACTGTGTCAGCAAATGTATCAACAAACTGTTAATAATAATTATTAATCAAATCCCAAATGCTAAACATTTCATCGTTCCTTCACAGATGTTGCTGCTTTTCCATATTTCATTTCATAGAATTGTAAATTGAATTTATTTAAAACAATTAATGTAAAGATTGATTGAAAAATCCATATCAAGGCTAGCAATAGAAATCAATACAATTGAAAACAAAAGCCCTGAGCGTGACATATGTTTCTTCTCATCAAGTCCACAGATATCAAAAAATTCAATAATAAAAATGATCATTTGAAATGTAAGTGGTTAATACAAAGAGTGAGACAAAGCTGAGATGGTGTGTAAGAAGAAGCCCTTTACGTGCTTTATCTTTAAGAGTTAAATCTTCCTGAGTGCCTCCAAGTCATCAGGGTTTCAATTACGAAACAGGAAGCAGAGAGAAAGAGAGCGAGCGGGTTAGCTTGGTGAGGAAACGAGAATCCTTTGAGTGAAGGGAGCGCCTTAATGACCCTTTCATCAGCCGAAGACACAAAGAAAGTCAACACCAGGATTATCAACATCTCTTTAATCTTTAATTAGCCTTCATCAGAACTGTCACATAGCAACAGAAACAAGTCAAACACATGTCAGCTCCCTGAAAGAGATGCTTTTCATGTTCTTTTCATACATGAAAATACTCATTTTGTTCTGTCAAAATAAATACTGAAGAGTTTTATAAAAGTTTTTTTTGTGTCTCCTTTGGACAGTTTGTGGGAGGATTTTCTTTTTTCTTTATATACACATTCATGCTGTAAGCTTCAAAAACATAAATGAATAAATTAAAAGAAGAGACGGAGGATACAGAGCAGGAACGACATGGACAACTCGGGAAGTTGCACAAATTGCAGCCATTGTCTAAATCCTTGTGTTATGCAGTCAGATGTAGACAGTGGCTGCATCTGAGAGATTCTGCAGCTGACATTGAAGAAGGCAGGTGAGATGTTAAAAACATGACACGGTTATTTTTTTCATTTTGCAAATAAAAAAGGCAAAGAGGCTGTGCTGAGACCTTCAGTCCCAAATGTTACCTGCGTGGTTACAGAAAGTTTATAATCCAGCATTTGAAAAAAGTCGCACGTGTGCAAAAATGAAAGAACCAGAACGTTGGCGATTATTCTGGACAAACCCTTGCTCACTGGATTTATTTTATTTTATTGTATTTGCAGAAATATTGAACCATCAACTACAGGAACAGTTTCCCAAAAACGAAAACATAAGGTCATTTTGGAGATGAATTGTACGCACACTATAACATGGTCGTGGGATATTTAGGAGGCAAAAGGCTTTTAAAATGCTACAGATTCTGCTTAAGGTAAAGAGGAAAATAATGGATTCTTATGGAGTTCAAAATAAACTTCTGTAATAAACAGATTTTCTCCAACAACGCAACCCTTAAGCAGGGTGGAACCAAGTTGGTAGAGGACTTCCATGCTGTTTTTAGTTGGTTTTTAGTTAGTGGCTCTAAACATCTCCTGCTTTGTATAAATGAATGAGGTCCAGCAAACTCTTCCAGTTGACCACAGCTCACCCCCGGTGCTCGGAGCTCACTCCAACTTTGTGTATTGAGTCCCACTGATGAGCACCATCGCGCTCAGAGGTACCGCTAACCGAGGAGGTTGAGGACTGCCGATGGATTTTTACAAAACATGAATCCAAAACTCCTTCACAGGTGGTCGGAAGCTCCGACTGTGTTTTTAAAGTAGTGAAGAGAAAAAAATATAGATTTCTAACATGAAAGTATTTTCATTTTGCGGCAGGAGTGTTTTCTTCTCGTTGCTCTCGGTCTCACTCGCTACACGACCCTTTGAATCCCTCAGATGGTTCATAACTCTGATTGATTTTTTTTTTCGTATCTCGTGATGCGTTTGTTAAATCTCCAAAAATGGTCTTCCTTTTTGGCTCATTAAATTCATGATGGTGGGCGAGCTTGACTTTCCTAATTTTAGACTGTTGAAGAGCTTCCCACACACACACACACACACACATGAACAAACATCTCCACACGAGAATGGACTTGCACACTGCCTGACATTCAGCGTACGCAGATGTCATGGAAACTGCAGCCGTGGAAGTGGGCGACTATTGAACAGCAACGTGAAGAAGAAAAAATGGGCAGAATATAGGGGAAAAAAGCATGACAGTCAATCTGCAAAGTCTGTCTCCTTTTATACTTATGGGAAAACAACAAACAGATGTTTGTTTGAAAAGAAAATTGTGGGTTTAAAGATGCTGAAAACATGAATGATTGCTCGTTAAAAAAGGCTGAATCTGCAACGTCTTTGGACTCAAAATGTCTCTGTGGAAATGAGTTTTATTTAGTTTATATTCTGCAGTCTTTGTTTACGGACGTTTGTGGCTTCACTCTGCAGAGGGAGGTCATGCTAATGAAGGACAGAGTGAAGGACACAAGGAAGCACGCCATCAGTATGTGCAGTCTGTGCTACTAGTCCCTGTGGTGCTGTTCTAAGCTTTGAAATGGTCAATTGTTGCGGAGGTAAAATCAAATGTGTAGAAACGTTTTCAATCATTAATAATTCATGATTCTGACTGTTGTTACGGAATCATTTTAATCTCTATTTGCAAGATGTTGGACATCCAAAATCATCAGGATGTTAAGACAAATTTATTCTGAGAGCAAAACCTTTCAGGATACTTTAAGAGAAACAAACTTAGCCAGAGTGAAATGAGAAGTTACTATTTCATAGTTTTTAATCTACATGTTTCACAGTTAACTGATGGAGATATACACTCTTCTCTGTCATTTAATAGGAAAATGTTTTATTTTATAACAAAAAAGAAATGATCTTAAAGATTTACAATCTACACTTTTCTCTCCGTAGTGGGAAAAGTTTCCAAAGGAACATTGACAAATATAAAAATATCTAGATCTTAATCACCAAAACAACATTGAACGCATATAGGAAAATAAATAATGTTCAATGCATCCGTAGATTGTTTCTGGGAGGGATTATGAACTTTTACTCTATTTAAACTCAGAACTTCATAAAATATATCAGACTAACTACTAACTTAATTCTTCCTCATATCACAAAAAAAGTGCTTGTGCTTCAAATATGGAAGAGGTCACAGTTTGAACAGAATGCTTAAACTTGTTCATCAGAGCAGGAAGCATGTTCTGTCTGTTTGATGCTGAGAAATGTATTTGTACGACAGAAACAACGCTGAAGCAGCCACTAAGATTACAGCATGTAGAGGGAATCCTCACGAGTTATTCACGAGTCAACAGCAGAATGTGAGACAAAGCATCTTGAAGTAACACTTGATAACACATAATCGACTTTATATATAAGAATACATATAATCTTTATGAATTACTTGTTTAGACTTGCTGTATATTGAGAAACAGACTCCTTGTCTGCATGGTCTTTCATTGATTCTCTGTCACACTGAGCACTTTAGACTCTTTAGAAAAAACTTGTTGCTGTGAAACAACTGACAAAACAAGCTCTACATCCCAAGAGCACCGAGCTGAAGAGCATCATCTGAACCGGAAAATGACTTGATATTGCAAGGGATTATGGGTAGAAGGGGAATGATTTTGACAGCTGATAGCTAACTGTTTTCCATGCTTGGAAAGTTGAATGTAACACCATGATGAACTGAGGAAGAACTACTTTCTGGGACCAGAAGAAGTTATTTATCTTTTACTCATTCCCTATCAGCTGGTGTGACACAAAGTTTATTGTACACATCTGTTTTTGACCTCCCCGCTTCTAATACAGCAGCCACAAACTTGTTGGGAAGTCGGGTTGCCAGAACTTGAAGTGTCCTTGAGTAAAACGCTGAATCCCAGACAGCGTTAAAATGATTCTGCATCCCAAATTATTATTTGGAGTATCAAACACCCCACTAGTGCGCTTCAAAAGCAGTCTGTTAAGAAGTGGACGTAGTCATCATGACGTCACCCATTGGTTTGTGGACTGACGTTTTGAATCCTCGAGTTCGGCCATTTCACCGTCACCATCTTGGAACGCGGTGAATAGAAGTGACCATATTTGTAAAGCGGAGGAGTGACGTAGAGACCTGTCAATCACAGTAAGTCCCGCCCTAAAGCATCCCCTGCTTTATGGTCTATTGACTCTAAATGGACCATCACTTACTAAATGAACATCATGCTGTATTGAAGAAGACTTGAAACTAGAGATTGAGACCATAAACTCATGTTTACAATGTTTACTGAGGTAATAAATCAAGAGAGAAGTAGAGTCATTTTCTCATAGTTTTAAGACACTTCCTCATCGGCTTCACTCGGCAGAACCGAAGTTTTGCCGCCTGATTGCTTCCCATATTTATGCTTGTTGTTCGGCTGCGACCTCGAGTGGCCTGAGCAATCATGACGGAAGCAAAGGAGGAAGTCGAGAGACGTATAAAAAGCGACAAAGTACACATAAGGGGGAAGGTCAGGGTGGATAGATGGCCCAAAGAAAAACATTAGTACGTATCCACGTCGCGTTGGCTACTTACGCACTTAGTTCATCCCAGACCAGATGATCTTTTCCTAAACCTAACCAAGTGGTTCTGTTTCACAACGTTAAATAAAATGGTCGTATGCGTCTTTCTGTGAGTCTTTGGCAAACAACCCATCCAGTCGTTTAGTATGAGGACATGTTGAAGCATTCCGACGGACAGCAGAGAACTATATTACGTTGGAGAGATGGTTCGAGACATTTATGTGGACATGTTGATACTTTGAGTCCATCGTAGCCGAATATGATGAACGAAATTAAACACGTCTCATGGCAGTTGAAGACTACAGGAGGTGAGTGATTCTCTGAAAACAGATTTTGGACGAGTATCTCTCAGAAACTGATGGATATTCATGTGTTGCTCAAGGACACTTCAGCCTGATAAACAGCTTCCTGCAGATGAAAATGATCACTCTGTTCAACGCTGGTACAGTACATCGACCGGCATTGGTGACATTTATGTTGAACATTGTACAGGACCCCTTAAAAATAACAAAAATAAATATATTCACAAAAAAATATAGATTTTGAGCTCTTCTGTAGCACTGATATGTCATTAAGTTTGACTCTCTAGTCTTATAAAACACGTCTTCTGGCTAAAAATGTGGAGGTTCACCGTCTGAAATGGGAATGTTTTCACATGATGGTGAAGAGCTGAAGTGAAGTGAACTATACATCTTATCTGATGGTGTGACCCTCCTCTCCCTCTCTCTTGGCTGCTCGATGTGTGACGCTCATATTTATGTATCTGGAGTAACATGAGAACTGGAGTCGTATTTGAAGTCTCAGATTGGACATTTCCTCTGAACTGTGACTTGCTAAACTGGGTCAATGGGCTCGTCTCTGCAGGGATTTGTAATTACGCCGTCCGCCCAGTGTTTCCAGTCAAGAGCTTTTTAGGTTGGTCTCCGTGCCAGTGAATCAGTCATCAGTGCTCAACAGTGTTTTCGTCTGATTAACTGATTTGAGAGGGCTGTGTTTGTTCCTATTCAACTCTTTCTGGAGGGTTCGCCTCTGTTTCTGTGCCTGCTTTGGCTCTGGTTCACTGTTTGTCTATATTTCATAGCTGTCCTCTTGGTGATAACTGTGTGATGTAAAAAAAAAAAAAAAAAAAAAAGACAAACAGCTTTGCTTTAAAGCCGGGTTTGGCATTGTTTAAGAAACCTGCAAGAGTAATAAGCCAGATTTTGAATCTGTCCAACTAAAAAGACCAGAGCCCAGAGTGGCCAACTCGTTTCCAATGAAAGTAGCAAGCAGCGCTCCAAAAGTCACTAATTCAAGCGAGAAAGTCGCCAGCACCGCCAGCCCGGCCCTCCAGGCCCTCCAGGCCTCCCTCCAAAGACACTTCATTCGGACAGAATGAAATAATTGGACCGGCTTAATGCAGTTTTTGTCTATTAGTTGCAATACAACAAAAAGGGTTTCTAAAAAATAGATTACCTTCCCTAGATGTATGCTCAATAGTAAGGGCTGTTGAATTAATTGTTTTTAAAGAATTTTTAAAATGAAGAGAAATCTGAACCTATAAAAGGACAATTTGTTGTTTATCTATAAATTCTAATTCACAGCATTTGGAGATGCGTGGTTGTCACTGACAAGCAAACATTTCTGCATGTTTGTGCGTATGATCCGTAGAAAGTTGGGTTGCAATGTTTTGTTGGGTTTTCAACAACATGAGTTCAAACTTGGAAAAATGCTTTTGATAAACTGATCTTTTAAGCTGTAACACACACAGCCCTGACATATGTCGTAAGTTCATACAGTTTGGTATTTCTCATGTGATAGGAATCAGAAGTGTATTTGCACATCCAGCAGACACAAAGCAACGTTATCATACATCTTAACTCGTGTTTGTCTCCCTGATGATTTTACAATATTCAGCCTCCTTTTAGATCTGCTTTGGTCTCCACCACCTCCTGAGCTCTAGATGCTGTGCGTTACTGCTGTTTGGTGCCAGGCAGGAAGCTCAATGTGGGATCATTAGAGGTTAATCACTAAAATTCTGACGAATGCAACTCAGATTTAAAAAAAAAGGACATGGATGCATTATGGGTAAAGATAACGAGTTGGCTTTAGTGTTCTCCATCCCCATGAAGATGGACAAATGGAAACATTTCCGGTACATTCTTTGAAGTGGCCTCGGAGGCCACAAGGGCCGTGTCCAGAGGGAAGCGGGGGCCACACAGCGTGCGTGAGATGGGGGGATATTCACACACACACACACACACACACACGCACAGTTACACTTGTACGAAAACATGCATCGCCATGTAAATGCACACAAAAACCCACACGCGCTCATCAGCTTGTACGAGTTGTGATCCTCGAACTTTTCCTCCCGACGGAGCCTCGTGGGGTGAGGGGCACGGAGTGTGAGCTAGCAGCCTCTGTAATAATGCACTTTGACCGCTTAGGTCAGGGATTTAACGCAGCCTTGCAAACACATTCCGCCTCTTTTCATGAATATCACTTGTTTGAAAAGCTCATTTTTGCCAACGTATTAAGCTCGTTCTACAAGGAACAACCTTCTCAAATCTATCCTCAATCTTTCTGACTTCGTACCGGAAAACAACAGAGAGCATCGTATAATAATCACAAATAGGTCCTCTGTACGTAATATCAAATAGCTTTGGCAACATGATTCCCCTCCACGACTCCCAGTCAGTCATTAATCACGTCTCACGCTGTGAAATTCTCCTACAACATTCCAGCCAAGCTGCCGGTTCTCCACAAGACAAGCAGAGCTTCACAGATCGCTACCAGCGGGCCTGCTGGTGGGATCGCAGTCGCATTCTGGATCTGATTCAGTTCGACTGGGACAGCTCAGTCTCCGTGAGGCTGCAGACGGGAGTACCAGCATGACAGAAACGGCATCAGAAAGACAGAGAACTGGTTTAGTTCCAGTCCACTAGGTCCCCCCTCCCACCTTTAAAGACCACAGGATGAGTTTCGACTGAACTTTAAAACCAGACGCAAACTTTGTAAAAGTCACATTCCTCGCCTGGATCCCTGAAGTCCCATCGGGACTCTGTTTATTTAGGAGATCTGCTGGATTTGTAGCATCTGATTTGAGCCGTGAGGGCCGCGGTGTGTTGTCCGTCGTCTCTGCGGTGGCGGTGTGAGAGCCGAGGACATGGGAGATGTGACTGAGGAGTCGTCGTTGGTCACAAGCAGGACTCGTGGGACTCTTTGACGGTGTGCAGAGACTTCTTCTTCTGCTCCGTGTGGTTCCCGTTCTGAAGCACAGAATACCTGAGAGAAGACAGAGGACAAGTTGCAGCCATAAGGACACATTTAAAAAAGACAACTTATATGAATACTGACAGACTGCTTCCTCAAAATGCTGTGGTTGCAGCTATCTTATCAACACTGCAGACAATCATGTCTTGTTTTTTGCTACTGTTTTAAACATAGAGATCTCATGTTTCAAACAAATAGTTTTCTGGTCTTTACTTAGGCCACAGAAATCAAAGTAATATCACAGAAACACGGCAAAACCCACAGAAAGTTTCACACGACAAAGTCAAACTGCAGTGGAAGAAAATTGAAAATAGCCGCCACCAGGCTCTCATATCTAACTATGAAGCCAGTAATCTCTGTCCGTCTGTGTGTCTGTCCGTCTGTCCGTCTGTGTGTCTGTCCGTCTGTCCGTCTGTGTGTCTGTCCGTCTGTCCGTCTGTGTGTCTGTCCGTCCTTCGCATGTCTCAAGAACTGCTCATCCGATCCTCTTCACACTTGGTGGGTGTATTGCTGAGGACCCAAGGACGCGCAGTGTGGACTTTGGTGCAATTTTGGCATGCGTTCAATATTAATAAACGTTGACTAAACAAGTGAGCAGCGTTCTTTGCAGGAGTGTGGGCGGGGTTTCAGGGCGGACGCCTCGGCTCACTGACTGCATGCCGGACACACTAACGTTCCAACCGAACTTTTCTTCACTTCCCTGGAGTCAATGAGCTTCCCAACGGCCACTCGCAGAACGGTCACTGCACTACTAATAAATAATAAAGAGGCGGGAAGTGGCGGATGCAGATAAGGTGCACCAGCAGTTCAGCAGTCCAACAGCTTTTAATAAGAAATGATCGTCCAAACAACACGAGAGAACACATCTTTACGTTCCCTGAAGTACGTTCTCGACAGCTTGGAAAGGAAGGGATGAGCGGATGGGTATTCAGCTCAACACTCGATGCCACTAAATACTACACACTGGTCCTTTAAGAGATTTTCAGTTTTCTTTTTAATACATTTGAAAACATTTCAGGAATCCTGTTTCATCATTATGAGGTACTGAGTGTAGATTGATGAGAGGAACAATGTGAACAATTTCAGCCTAAGTCTGCAACATAAAATGTGAAAACGGGGGTCTGAATATTTCTGAATGTAGTATAAGAGGATGCTTTTATCGGCTGCTCCACTGTGCCACTTTCTGATTTATATTACTTTGTTCATGCAAGCAGGTCTAATATGATAAAAGACGCATATGACACAGAGATATCCAACATGGTATTGGTTCAGGCAAACAGTCTTGCACAAACCAATTTAAATTGGACATTAGTGCACAACAGCCAACAAGGCTGAGAGCACGTTTGTCAAAGTCAACAGAAACTCATTCGGCAGCCGTAATGGGTCTCATCTGTAAACAGTAACAGAGACTTCACCGCATTGAATGAGCAGAATGGATGTCTGTGGTACACATGCAAGTATCCACGTATGCATGTGTGTGTGTGTGCCTCACCGCGGGCTAAAACCATTACGAGCTGTTTACACAAACACCCTGACCGGAGACACTTCCTGCTGCCAAACTGGCCGTGAAATTTACCTTCCAGACAGCCTCGAACATTTAGGGGTTTTCAGAAGGAAACGGGCTGCAGATCCTCGCCGGAGCGGAAACCCAAAATTGCTGCCACATTGCGGCGTTAAACCCTCAGCTGGTCTCTCTGCGGTTCTGTGAGTGTGACGTCGATGCTTATGCTCTTGGGTGGAAACAAAGATGTTGGAGACCAGGGGGAAGTTATTGATGACTTCTTCATTGATCTTTCACTGAGTGAAGCCCAGTGCTACATATGTCTTCAGTCAAGTCTCAGTGGAGTACAAGCGAATCAAACGTGTCTGAGTCATGCTCTTTGAAGCTCACTTATGAGCTGTCGGTGGTTTGCTTCACAGCACTGACATGATGCTATACGATGCTGCCATCTGTGAAGTGATTTGACAACACAGCAAATGGTGTTTCTAGGAACGTGGAAATGTAAAAAATCTCAGCAACAACAAAAAGCATCAACTTTCATGCTGCCATCAGCATATTGCTGTGATTTTTTTGGATTTTCCAAAGAACTGAAGGTTTAAATGTTCATTGTGGGTTCGGACAATTCTGCTCTGTTTTAAGATTAAAATGTATGAGAAATTGTCATAATTAGCGCATCATCTTTGATTATGATTTTAGAGTTGTGACCAAAAACGTGATTTTGACATTTGATCACCAAAATCTAATCACTTTCCTGCTCCAGGCAGAGGATCCAGGCAGAGGAGGCCACATTTTAAGCCCCCCCCCCCCCCCCCTCCCCCCGAGATATTGCGCTCACAAGAATGGACTAAACAGAAGTACGTACGGACGGATGGACAACCTGAAAACATAATGTCTTCGGCCACCACTGACGCTTGGCCCGGAGGCCTAAAAAGTTTTTTGGGGTTTTTCAGTTCATCCTTAAGTCTTTTTTTTTTGTGCCAAATTTGAAGAAAGCCCCTCCTGGTGTTTCTGAGATATAGAGTTCACGAGAATGGGACGTACGTACGATCGGATGGACGGAGGGACAGATGGACGGAGAAAACGAAAACAAAATGTCTTCGGTTGTGTTTTTCTGAAAAGATGACATGTTGTACTGCTGTCATGGTTTATACAAAATGCATCAGCTTGAAATTCAACAATAACAGAGTGCTTTGGATTATGAAGGTTCCTCTTTTTAGGGGAATTTTTTCAAAATGATCACCAGCTTCAGCAGAGGTGGATGTGGTTTGACACAAATTATTCATGAACCCTTTATTGTCATCAGTAGATTGTCATTTAAATCCTGGTTTTGCTGTGAAATATCAATATTTAACAATAAACTAACCCTGAACATATGTTAGAGCTGCATCAATATCGAGGAGCAGGAGAATAAAAGAAACAGTGCACATAGAATCTAGATCATCAACTCAAGTACATTATAATGAACATGAAATGATGATGAAACTATATAAAAGAAAATGTTTTGGGACACATAACCAGCCTGTATCTTCATGTACAGATTAATATAAATGCTGTGCGATATAAAGTTAACCAGTTTAAAGCTAAAGAGAGAGGAAGAAAGCCCAACATGTGACAGAAAACTTTCATCTAAAGCCTCATTAAAGAAGCACAAACTCTTAACATGAAAGCAAGTAACGAACGCAGTGAAAGCTGATGTAATATACAGAAACATTTATTCTAATGTACAGGAAACCTCAAACTGTTAGTGTGAGCTCATTTGGAGCATTTTTTGGGTCATCTTCATACTTGGATCAAATGAAAATGTTTGCAGCGGGACATGTGGCCGCATCCACTCCGTGTTTACTGGTGGTTTTGTTTGTACACAGCTGAGCCAACAGGCCAACTGGCAGAGCCGGAGACAGGATGGAGATCTGTTTAATGATGCCAGAGGAGAGAGAGGGACAGACGGCCCGGATCACCAGCAGACTAAACATTGCTGCATATTTTGGGCAGCAGTACGGCAAACATTCATCTTTCCAAAGTGCCCTTTAGCCAGACTTTGAATGCTGCATGCCAGACCCTGACGTCTGGAGGAAGAGCGGGAAAGAGAGGAGACGATTTCTCAATGAAGATCAATGTGGTGTAAACTGGTCCAAATAACATTAAGTACTAACATACTGTGTAGATTTTAAGACATCACACGTGAATGGCACCAGACATTTTAAGTAGAGATAGACTTTCCTTCTCTGGCGAATGTTGATATAATGTAGAAGTAGAAGTATAGGATGAAGAAGCTAAACACACAGGAAGGTGGCGCTAGTCTCTGTGGATTACTGAGGAATAATGAGTAATTAATGAGGTTCCTGGATACAAACACTTTGATTGTGAGCTGGATGTCAGTATTTCACTCCTAAACTTCACAGCGGTCTGACTCCACTGGATTAACCTGAGAATGAAGGAGCTTGGCCTCGCTGTGTGAAGGAGATTTTCATTGTCTGAACAAAGTAACACGGAGCTCTTACAAAGGATTTACAAAAGGTTCTTGTTTACGGTCAATAAACCAATGGATTTTATAGCCTCATCACAATGTAACGTTTTACCTTGATCCTTGATCCTTTTCTAACTATACAGTGTTTCTGTTAAAACTAATCGCCTTCACATTCACTACAGGAGCGGCAGCTTGTTTGGTGACTTGCTTGAGGGCAGTCATTAGTAACGACGGTCCAGTACCACATTCACTTTGCTGTCACTTTAATGTCTCTGGTGGTACAAGTGGGGCTGCTTCTGGGCAACACTGGATTTGCAGGATTTCTGCAAGTACCTTGATTTATCAGGTATTTAATTCACTGAACGCTTATTACATCGGTAACTCATTGAGTTAATTCAAAAGATCTGAATGCCCACATACTCATGTGTGCTCCTCATCCAGTTGTTTTTTCTGGTTTGGACCATTTTCCCTGTAACCAGATGGTTTGTCGCACAGAACGATCTGAGAAGCCGCTGAAACATTTTGGAAAATGGCAGGAACTTTAATAAAACGAATGGATAAACAATCTGTCAATCAAACTCTTGCAGAACCCAGTCGGGAGAAGAGCGAAAAACATCTTTTCCATCGAGAAAAAGCCTTCAGTGTCGTTCTTTGCTCTTCTGTCAATGAGGAAATACTCTCCAGTTCTGATATAACGGATGCTATCGCGCCATCTACGCTAACCTCATCAGGAGCCACCATTTTTGTTTGGAACAAACATTCAGCTCAAATTCAGAAATATATATATAAATAAATAAAGGTATTGGACAGGCGTATTGATATCTTAAATAGTTTTCTCTGCCTCACGTTATTCTGAAAGCTAGGGTACTTGGGGTTTATGATACCATTAGATTTATGGAATTTATGAAATATCAATATTTTGTGATAGAAAATGTGTTTAGTAACAAACGTTAACGAGGCCTGCAAACAACAGAACAACCTTTGTCACAGAGCAAATTCCTGAATGTGTATGAATGACATGTGATCGCATCTTTTGATTCCCCC